ACGGCCCGAGCTCAGCCGTCCACTCGTTCAACCAGGTCAGGTGCCGTTGACAAAACATACGCACGCATGACGACCATCCATCTGACGGACCCGTGTGTCACAACCTGATCCGGTCAACACTCTGACAACAAACACTCTTCGACGTCGGAGCACCGTCCAAGTCTGAACGATGGCACGACGAAAGGTCACAAATCGCGCCTCGGATCGAGCGCGCCACATGGATCCAGTTACGGCACGCGTTCTGCTACTGGACAATCCGTGTTGTGTTACCAGGAAGGAGGACGCGTTCGCCATGCGGGAGGCCTCCACCGAGCCACCGCGAGGCGAGGAAGTTGAAATCTCGGATGGATGCTTGCTACTTTCAACTTCTCTGGGGCATTTTTTGAGCCAAGTCGTTGGGTGGCCGAGTGGAGGGCTGTTCTTGGCACCGGGAGCGCCTTGTTTCGAACGAAAGCGACGAATGCGTTCGCTCTTGCCGTCTTGCTCCTGAGGCTCCTCCTGGTAGGCAGGTCACCCACAAACGATGCATTGTTGAGCTCGTCAGATATCGTCATGGGATACTGTTCGTGTGAAATGGTGGAGCTGGAGATGTCGACAAAGACGAACAAAGCAGAGCTATTGATGCACCCGTCGCGCTACCTCGCTAACGTAGTGCTCTCCCTTGGAATTGGCGAATCCAAACTTCCCGTGTTGTGGGTTAATGTAGGTATGTTTCTTTCCTTCCCCCTTACAGAGAAGTCATGGGTCTTCTACCACCTATGCGTGCCTTGCAAGGGGTCTACGCCTCTTTTGACCAGGAAGAACCCCCCACATAATCCGCACTCTCTTACAATTCTCACGCTACACAGAGCGTTGACACGAGTAGAACTCGACAGGACTCATCCACACAGCCCCTATTGCGCCTCTTTACCTCTTGCGCGCCATCCAGTTCTGGTGCGGGCGCCGCCTCGTTTCGTCGTATCGACGGGTGTTCCTCGGCCGTCATTCTCGGTCAAGGAACAACATTCCAAAAAATTCTTCTCATTCGAATGTCGGTCTCTCCAAAAAATCCAAGTTGCATTGAATGATGAAATATATATATTCCCACAAAGTTACCAAAATAAAAAGCCAACAAACGTAGAATCGACAGAATGCAGGTCGCCCACCCAGTAAAACCCAGTGACAACTCCCCCCCAAATTTTCAACGGGACACTCCACAGTTCCTTGTGCATTCGTACAGTTCACAAGTGCACCTGTGTCAAACACTCGCTTTTGTCTGTACAGGAGTGTACGGTGAAGTGATCGAGCCAATCACGCGCCTGTATCACTTGCATCAACCAATCAAACATCGCGATTCAAATCGTCCCACCGGATTACGACGGCGTTTTCCTTCGCCCACGTCGGACATTCGTTGGTCGCGTCATGCAGCGAGCCCACAATTCATTTGACTTTGGCGACGTCATGGCTTCGCCCACGACCATGAAAGCCCTCGTGTATAGCGCATATGGCGACGCAAGCGCTTTGTGTGTGAAGGAATTTCCTGTGCCCATCCCCGCGTCCACTCAAGTACTGGTGAAAGTGGCCGCGGCATCTATCAACAAAGGCGACCAATACATCCTTCGTGGAAGCCCATTCATGGTCCGTCTGGCAACTGGAGGGCTCCTCAAGCCAAAACCTGACACTGTCATCGGCATGGACTTTGCCGGCACGGTGCACGCCGTGGGAGCGAACGTGACCAAGTTCCATGTGGGTGACGAGGTGTATGGAGAAGTGGACTTTACGACGGGGCGAGGATCGTTTGCCGAGTTTGTGTGCATGTCCGAGACCGACACAATATGTCTCAAGCCCACCAACTTGACGTTTGTTCAAGCCGCGGCGATGCCTTGTGCGGCGCAGACAGCACTACAAACGATACGAGACGACGGTGGGGTCAAACCTGGCTCCAAGGTCGTGATCAACGGCGCGTCGGGAGGTGTTGGGTCGTATGCCATCCAAATTGCCAAAGCCCTCGGGGCTCACGTGACTGCTGTGTGTAGCGCGGCCAATGCGGAAGCCGCGCGAGAGTTGGGTGCCGACATCGTGGTGGACTATCACACGGTGGACTTTGTCCAGCAATGCCAAGGACAAGCGGACGTTCTTTTGGACTATGCTGGGAGCCGTAGCTTGCGAGACAATCGCAGGGTGTTGGTCAAGCACGGCACATACGTGAAGGGAGGTGGCCCACCGGAGAAATACTTGAGCGGTATCCTGTGCATGTTGGTGGTCAACCCGTTTGTGAGCCAACGACTCGCTGTTGGGATGGTCAAACCGTCGCAAGAAAAGCTCCAAACCCTCAAAGACATGGCCGAGGCTGGCCAAGTGATGCCCCGCATCGCTGCCCAGTTCGACTTGACCCGCGGAGCCGACGCGTTTCGATTCTTCGAACAGGGCCACCTCCAAGGAAAAGTTGTTGTTACGCTAGAATAATCCTACAAAGCGTTCACTTCGTTGCTTGATGAAGGAGGTGCATGAAACTCCAGGACTTAATCGCCTTGCCTCGACATCATAAATAAATAAAGGGACAGAAATTGCTGGTTCATGCATTTGAAACACGCACGTCCTTTTAGCAACGTTGCTCGAGTATATTGAAATCAATTTCGTTGGATCAATTTTATCCAATCATCAAGCTTAATTCATTAATGAAAACTCGTTGATTCGTGCATTTCATGTAGCTGGTTTGGATTGGTTAATATTACATCTCGTCAGCCACACGTGCAAGGTCTCTCCCGCTGGAATTGCGTGCTGTCTATGGACAGAACGGACTCGATGGACTTCGATGAGCATCTCGACGCCGCTGAATGCCGCGTCTGTCGTGAAGAAGCGGTAAGATCCATCGCATCGGTGCACGATCTCAACCGCTTGCGTCTCACTTGACGTAGGACTCTCGGCGTCGGCTCTTCGCTCCATGCAAATGCAACGGGTCGATTCGGCACATCCACTCCGACTGCTTGATTCAGTGGCTCAATTTCTCCAAGCGCGAAACATGCGACTTGTGCAGCCACGCGTTTACGTTTCGACAAGTCTACGCCCACGGATGTCCTGAAGTGTTGCCGTTCCGCGACATTCTCACTTCATCCGTCAAGTTGATCAGCCGTCACGCGCTTGAGTACATCCGAATGGGCGCGATCCTGGTGATGTGGGCTGCCGTGACCCCATATTGCCTCAGTTGGATCTACCGTTTATGGTTCCTTCGATCACCGTCCATGGCATCCGTGCACTTTTTTGACCGCGTCCACTCTCTCGAACGGGTCGTGGATGACATCTTTTTTGGTCTGATCTTGATGATGGTTGTTGTTTTGGCGGGATTTTACGTGATCTGCATCGCGGAAGATGTTCAGACCGAGTCCAACCGATACCATCGCGATGCGTTGATTGCGTCCGGCTGGCACATAGACGAAGAAGCGGAGCCAGAAGGAGAATCGGACGACGACCAGGATGACTTCGACGACGTCGGTCCATTTGTTGCAGAAGTAGGCGCGCCACGCCGCCGTATTCGCCTCCGAGAAGCAGACAATCTTCCATTTGCCGCAGAGCCTCCTCAAGATCCCGCCAATCCGCCCCCCGCACCCCACGAACCTCATCACGATCAAGACCACCAGCATCACGACCATGCCCAAGGCCCCGATGAAGTTGACTGGATGTGGGAAGTCATGGGTTTTCAAGCACCGTGGCCGGTTGTCCTACGCAATGTCCTCTTCTTTCTCGTTTTGGCCTCTGGCTTCCTCGTCGTGTTTGTGTTTGCGCCGCATGCTTTTGGGGCTCTGTACAATGGCCGAGGTCTCCACTTGCCCCTGCCCTCCTCGCTTTTGGCAACTGCGCAAGAAGCCTTCGATGCAGCCAAGGCCCGCGGCGACTGTCTTCAGTTCCTCGATGTTGTTCGATGCCTGTCGACGTACGTGTCATGGGGGTCCGGTCTCCTCCTTTGGCGTGCAGTTCGGCCATCTATCATCAGTCCCCACTTGGGGCCGTTCTTCGGACCCATCTTCTGGGCCATGTCGTGCATGTGCGCCGCCGCCAAGGTCACGTCTCATCTCGTCCTCAAAGTGTTCGTCCTGCCCGTCGTAATTGGAACTGCCGTCGACGCCGCGACCCTGCCGCTCTTCCAAGCCGCAGCAATGCATCGACTGACGTTTGCACTTCACAATATGCTGGCAGCGTACGTGATGCACTGGGTGCTCGGCATGTCTTTCATCCATTTTGTGTCGGTGGCCGTGCTGCAGTTGAGAGAAGTGCTGCACCCGGACATCCTCACAGGAATCCTGCACCCGCATGACCCGTACCAATACCGAGTCAAAAACATCTTGGCGGGGTCGATGCCGCGGCAGTATTGCGCCATGGCGTTCGCCACACTCAAATACATTGCGTTCGTGCCAGTTCTCGTGTACCTTCCCGTTGTGACTGCCACGACGCTGCTCCCGTCCGGGTGGTTCCCGCTCGAGCTGCGCTTTCGTTACATATTCGCGCTGGTCCAAGTGCCGCTGGAGCTTGCAATTGTCCACATCAACGTGCAAGATTCGCTGGACCACTTTGCCCCAAACATTGGTGACCTGCAGACGCTGTGGATGGCCACAATGTGCCGGCATTTGGGACTGGTCGAATTCCTCCTGCCGCGCGTCCCAGCCCTCGTTCACGGGGACCCAGACGTGGTTTTAACGCTACCCGATCTCGTGTTCGACCCGTTGGATGACAACCATCCCCACCACGGCCATGAACCCGTGGTGTACGGCTACCGGCGCAAGGAATGGCCAAAGAACGGTGCTGCCGACGCGTTGAAAATGGAGTACACCCTGCTTCCACGAACTACGCCGCCTTTTGTGGCCGGACGACTTGCCGTTCTTGCTGTGTTGTGGTGGGGGACCATGTTTGCTGCCATCGCTGCAGTAACCATCGGACCGCTCGTGGTTGGCCGATGTGCCTCGGCCCTTCTCGATCGGTACTTTGGAGGCGGCCATGACTCGTTCAGTTTCGCAGCTGGGGTTGTGATCTACTTTATAGTGTTGTATGCGGCGGAAGCGTGTGCTGCGCTGTCGATTCCCCACAACGAGATCGACCCCGAGCTTCGTCAACGCGGGTACGAAGTGCGCGGCATGTCACGCCATGGGCTAATCCTCGCCGTGGGGCTGTACATGGTGGGGTTGCCATACCTGATTGGAGTGCTTGTGTCGATGTTGCTGCCGGCATCGCCGTGGCCGAGCCTGCTCGAGGTAATAACACCAAGTCGAACGAGACGATTGATCTGTTGCTGATGTAGTCGACGTGCTTCGGCGTCATTGTGATGCAGTTCTGCCTGTACTGGGCGTGCTGCCTTGTCCGATGGGACGAAGGGAGTGTGCTGGACTCGCTGACCCTTGCGATGAACCAAATTCACTTCCACGTGATGGCCAACTGCGCAGGGGTCGTCGACGAAGGCGATCTCACACACAAGTGTTTGGACCTGGCAACGTTCAAAGCCAACGTCGTCTGGCCGCTCGTACACGTGGTTAGCGCGGGGCTTGTCGTGCCCCTCGTGTGCAGCTCCGTGTACCGGCACGCGTTCGACGGGATGCTGCACGTGACCCATGTCCATGTGTTTCGCGCGGCATTTGCGACCCAAGTCATCGTTGGCCTCGTCGTGGTCGGCCAAACATCCAAAGCTACCGCCAGGTGGCTCCAGGACCTGCACGACGCCATTCGAGATGACCTGTACTTGATCGGACGCGAACTCACCGACTACGAGCATCCCAAGCAGTGCTAGCTAGAACTCCTTTGTGTATTTAAGCATGTGATCCTAATGCAACCATCGACCCGCGCACGCGGTGCCCGCAGAGGATATATTGAATTCAACAACGCTTAGGGGGACCGACGACACGCAGGGAGGACGATGTTAAATATGTACGTGGGTGGCGCCGTCTCCAGCACGCTGTGTTGGAGAGTGAACTTGCAAATGGCGCGCCCGAGGCCTCGAAATTCTTTGAAGCACACGTTGATGGGGTTGCTGTTCTTGATGCCACGCGCGTAGCATTGCAAGAACGGGTTGAGCGCGATCGAACCAAAGTTCCATGCGAGACCTAGACGTGGGCTGTCGAATGCGGGGAACGTGTGTACAATTTGGAGTGTACCTTTTGAGAGAACTCGGCAGAATGGGGGGTTGCTCGGCACAGCGGGTTCTTCGTCGACGTAGACGTCTTCGTGGACAGCACTCATGCCATTCAAAGGGCGGACGCTAGCTGCTGCAAGGCAAAAGCAGGAATGGCATGGCCGTCCATGGCCACTCCCGCGTGTCTTTGGCCATCTCGTGCGTGTCTTTAGGTAACATGGCTCGATTGGTGCAGAACAAGGTTCAACCGATGCTGTCTCAACTTCAAATTGGCCTTGACACCTTGACGACGCTCGGCATTCCTGCCCTGTTATCAACACACGAGCTGATACCTATTCCACGACCCCTTAGAGAAGGAGCTTTTGGCGAGAACGCGCCCATGAATCCAACGTCCAGGACATGGCCATTGCAACAACGCGGCACCTGTTTGCGGCGTCGTTGCAACCTGGGACGCAAACACCTTCAGCGAAAGGCAAGAACAGATTCCGTCAATTTATCCCAACATCAACATGACGTAGGCAAGCGACGTTTCTCGTTTTATCTTGACATGTATAATGGAACAAGGATAATTATCGCTCCAATTGGCGTACGAAATATGGATGACGGGGGTCATTTCGTTCAAAAGTACTACCCCTGAATCACACATATTTTGACAATAGGGCAAGACATTTTGGGCGCCCCAACAATCGGATCGACAAAGAGCAGATGGCAATTTGGTGCACGGAGCTCGCGCCAAGATCGAGCAGACATTGCGTCGAGTGCGGACAGGATGGCATGGTGGTGGTGAATCAATAAGTTATCAAGATGTCATGGTGTGCTTCCACACGTTTACGTTGGTCGCGATCTGGCGCAACACTTGCTCCAAGGCTCCGTCCAACCGTTCGTTCAGCGCCGTGTACACCGGCAAGACGAGATTTTGCATGAAGAACAGCTGCCCGCCCACTGAAAACCCAACACTTCGGTCACACATGGGCGACACATCTGTCCACCCAAGCGCCTTCTCGGCATCACCTTGCTCAAACAATTCGTCGCCGAGACGGTTTACCCACAGCCGATGGACCTCAAACGGTTTGGTCGTCTGGCCCAAATCGGCGGCGTGCAGCGCGGCTTGGAGCAGAACTACATCAAAGGACGACGACGACTTGTCCACTGCCCGCAGCGACGCGAGCAGATTCTTCTGTTCGCACAGTGACGTGGTGAAGATAGCGCTGTGGATGACCAGGTGGAGCTCGGACTGAAGCAACGGGGACATGTGGCCGAGAACGTTGTGGTCCGTGAATAGTTCGAGACCGACGGCCGCGTGCATTTCTTCCAGGGGGCAACACACAGGGTACATCGTGGCCAAGCGGTGGTTGGACTTCTTAAGAAACAAGTTCGTCCGCCCAAAGTGGGCGGCGTCGTGGGTAATGGCAGCCAAGAGACCACTGATTTGCATGGGGGCCGACAGGATTGACTGTAATGGAGTCCGCACAACGACGCAGTAGAGCGAGTGGACCACGTCCGCGGCGTGATCCGCATTGTGGTACGGAATCGCGGGGTTGTACGTTCCATCGACGGCCCGCACCCACGCGAGCAAGACATCCATGTCAAGGCCATCGAAGGACATGACCGAAAAGATCAAGTGACTGACAAGCACCAACGTGGACGACGGCAAGTACGCGCACAATGCCAACACGTCAAACTGGAACGTGCCAAATCCGTGGTCAGGGTTAAGGAGCAGCGTATGAATCGACGCGGCCACGTCCGCGTCCATGGTGGGATAAAGTAAATCCAAGCTGGACTGCAGCACGTCCCGAGTGAGAATGTTACCAGGCGTCGGCGATGAGTCGACGTGGACATCGACAACGTCGTGCCAATCGTCATGATGCTCGACAGACACTTCCTCGACATGGGTCGGAGACCCCATCAAGGACACGTCTCCGTTTTCGACCGCCCGTGCGACGTTGATACATGGAGACGTGAGCTGAATCGGTCGGACGTTGACCTTGGACCGGCTGCTGCCGTGGTGCCGAAATGCCGCGATCACGTCAGGGGCCGACTTGTGCGTAGGGTACTTGGAAAGTTTTTGCGAGGTGGGTTTGTCCATCAAACTCTCTGTGTCCATCACTCGTATACCTCGAGCCCGCGACAAGCCGCGATCGTATCCCAGCGGCATCCACACAGCCGTCTCTTCGTCCGCCACCGCCGTGCGTTCAGGAGCAGCGAAAGCAACAATGGAGCTCGCATTCCAGGAATAGACACGAAGTTCGAAGGCGTTTCCCTGGGAAACGTATCGACAAAAACGAACTTCGAAGGATGCGACAACTCGCGACGTGCCGAACTTGGTACCGTCGCCAACGTGGATGCTCGACGCACCATGCGATATCATGCCGCGAGTATAAACAAGGGCGTTGAAATTCGCCCAGCGCACGTCGCGAGCGCCGATCGGGGGGACGCGTGTTCCGCGAGCTAGCTCCGGGCGCGACGTCGCTGGTGTTCATCGAGCCATACATATCCCATGCCGCGAACACTTCAAAAATAGCAACGTTCGGATGGACGAGTAGCGCGCGTTTGGGACATGGGAACGACCCGTGGTGGCGACCACAGTATCCCGTGCCTCCAGAATCAGCCAAGACTGCCATCTCTTTCGGTCACCTCGTGTTTTTATGCCGAGGCAGAACAAACTCGGACGATTTGCACACAACGTGCTCACGTGATGGTTCGACAACTGGACCGTTTTGGTGCCGCAGCGACAGATCCGAGCGTTTTTATGTTGTGAACTTTCGCTTTCAACGCCAAAGTTTGGAGAATGGATCAAGACTGCCCTTGGTAGACACGACTGCCTCCAACGACGCCACACGGATTCGGCAGATGACAGATTAGACTATCGCGTTCATGTATATACATCCCCAGTACCAACCCGGACGCTTGTCCCCCCATCGGCAGGACGAACCTGGGCGTTTTCAGCATGGCATGTCGCAGGCGAGAAACACCGCAGAAGCCGAGGATCGAAGTCTCGGGGGCGGCGACGGATACGCCGTCAGTCTTGCGCCGAGAGTATGCACACATCGGAAACCATCGCTGCCGTGAGTGGACACATCGATTACGACATGGTATTCATATCTTGCTGAGACGACATCGTTTTCGTTCGCGACTGTTTGGCTCGTCGTTCTCGCTTGTACTTGCTTTACAAGACTTGTTCTTTGCACGGTACGACTGCGTGAATGTGCCAAGTGTGGCTGGGATGCTTGGGGACGCCGTGGTGTTCGAGGGATCTTGGTAGGATGAAGGATATCTGTGGAGGGACCTTTGTCATTAAGTAGTCCCTGGTGTAGAAACGGAGCATTCACATCTCACCAAGCAACCGAGCCATGGCTCCTTCGAACACCATGGCGACCCCACATGCCTTCCTGCACCTACACCATTCATGCACCTCGTGTTGCTCGCAAACAAACGGCGAGGAAGCTGTGTGTATAGATGCGTGGTCTTCTCGAAAGGTTGAAGCGGTCGGTACCTGGGTTCGAATGCGGCGAACCCGACGCCCAGGTCCGTCCTGGTACTTCGCGACAAATCCGCAGGGCAGATGTCCACATCACTCGCCGTTGGAAATGTGTACTAGTATGCACCAATGGGCATCAAAAATGCATAATTTGGAGAAAGGCTGTCGACAGGAAAACGTTTCCCGCATGTGATTTTTGGATATTTCCGTCAATTTTTTGACATTTTTCTGTATCCGAACAATTCCAATGGAAACGTGCCGAGGAAATCAGTCCATTTGACGGCACAAAAATGACTGGTTCCCCTCTCGTTTCTAAACCACGAGCTGAACGAGACCAGTTGTCCATGTTGCCGGTACGAGGCCAGCAGTTCACAACAGTACAGTGAACCCCGGAACAAGCCGACATGCTTTCATCGTAAATGGCATGGAGGCAGAATAAATTCAAGTAACTGTGAAATTCCCGACTTTGCTAGAATCAGGAATTTTTGTAATTCAATCACAGTTTCTGCTTTATCTACACTGCAATTGGTCAAAAGGATGACATCTCCGACGTGTATTGAAGTACAAGTATACAGGTGGTAGAAATTTCGTATTTTTATAGAAGTGAATTCTGGCGTGTCGGCTATTCGTGGTTCACAGTACCTTGGGTACCGCATCTCCAAATCTCCTTAGCCAACCCACGCCATCGCAGTCGGGTGGGCATTGAATCTCTCCGAACAGTCGGCGCGGTTTGGCATGCTCCTGTAGATTCGGAGGTTGTTTCCAAACATTGCTTTGTTGGAGCCTATGGTAATATGTGAAATGCCGCGTCTGCCCAAGCAGATGCATATCAAATATGGCGCAATAGGACGCAAGGCATGTTCGACACACACTTGTGCTTGTCCGCTGTACGTAATTACTACTTCAACTGCCCGTGGATTGACAAGGTTTCTTGAGCAAGAACGACATTTTTATATTGTACCGTCTAATTTTATACGTCTGAAAGTATAAATTGTTAGGAGTTGTCGAAACCCAAATGACAGTGGGTTGTTGTGAATGTTACCGTCATCTCGCACACTTGAAAAGGCGCTGTAATCGAAAAGTTTATCATTTTCGTAAATATTTGATGTATTCACATATGTCAAAAGGATGATAGTTTGTTGCTTTGCTCTTTCGCGTAGGCCTTTGAAACACTACGAGCGAGTTTTCGAGCCATCAAGCCATGAGTGGGCGAATATGAACGGCACCTGCCGATTGGGAGCACCAGGTAAACCGATTGGGAACGCGTTCCACGACTTCAGAAGACGTTGTGCACAGCCAGGGATTCTGGTCGCACCTCTCGTCATTTTGGTAACAATTTTCAGAATTGCAACTTCAGCTTGACTGTGAGTAGTACTAACCAATCAAAATAACCAAATGGGTATTTCCATCTAGAACGATCATGGAAAACCTTGGTGGATCGTGGGGATTGGCTGCAACCTGTCAAATGCATATCAGGAGTAGAACACAATCGGTCGTTATCACTAAAACGAT